GGAGAACACACACTTGATGATGTCGATTAGAATAGTAACAGACAATGCGTTCTTAAATATCTGAGGCAATGCACTTGGAGTAGTAACCTAGTAATGCCAGGAAAGAAAACAATGAGTTGTCAAATGGATGAACCAGTTAGGATGGGGAAGAAGCATAAAAGGAACATCAATATAAATATTAGTGCCCTGATCAAATGCTTACCACATCCACTCATTTATTAAAGCTATGACTAAACCTCCTGAATCTATACTTGAACAAAGGGAAGTAGCAGCAGCATTTCTATTGTTTTTATATAGTCATTATGCTTCCAGAGACTATCCAAAAAGAAGGTCATCTCCTGAAGTGCCCGTGCTTGACAATCTCAATTTACCATCACAGAGAAAAGGCCAATTTTTTTGCATGCTTGTTAAGTTTTGTTTTCCGACCTTGTCCTTTATCCTAAAAGAAATGCAAATCAGTTTAAACTGAAACAAAAACCTTCAAGAGGTGAGCCTGGAGTGCACGATCACCAGAAAAGCCTCGCCAAGAAACCTCAAATTGATAAGCTGAGTTTGGAGGTGTAATGTTTTTTGCAGCTTCAGCCATGGCTCGAGAAGCCGCTTGAGAAGCGAGTTCTTTAACTGAGGCCTTCAGCTCCTGCCTTCCAGCTCTGTTATTTCTCTGCAAAAGAGTAAATGAGATATTAATCACCAGAAACAACAATTACACAAGCAAAGTGGTAACAAGTAGCCACAACTGAAGTTCAGAGATAGCAGGATGGATTAAAGAACTTTCCAGTAAAGAATCCACTCATGAGGCATTTGAAATCTGCAAATAATAGTGCCAGATATGTTTTAATCTTAATCCAATTTATGGGCAGACAAAGAAACATCCCATTTTTAGTGGCTATCTGCAGAAAGATACCAATCAATGGATTTGGTAAGAGCCCTGGCTCCAATGCATGTGTGACAGCACACAGGACAAATGGAGAAAGACAGCAATACATGCTTTGTCCCTTGAATCAACTCTCAGGTCAAAAAATGCATATACTTATGACCATGCTACAATGTCATTTCACTTTCATCAGTCCCACATGAATCCATATAATTTGCAACAATATGAATATTGTTGTTCCAAAGGCATCCTGATATTGCATGATTTAAAGAGAGAGAATTTGCAACTAGTAGAAACACCAGCAAAAACAAAAGCTTAATGAACCAGTTCAAGGTAAGAATGAAAGAGAAATGGAATAGGATTTGTAATCCTATTCCATAGAAAGGGATTGTTAATGCCTAAAGTGGAATGGACATCCTTTCCCCATCTGCTGGGACAAAAAAGCCAAAACAACCATTTTCCCTGTTTATTTAAATAAAAAAAAATATAAAGAACACAAACCAACCTCTCAAACACACACACACACACACAACAGAATGGTAGCCATGCACAGATGTGATGCTACACCTGGATAATCTCTGCATTAGAACTTGGAATAGCATTTGCACGAGAATCATTGCCTAATTGACCATCAGATCTGCTTCCAGCTCCTGTGCTTTTGTTCTTTATCTCTTCCACATAGACAGATTTCTTCACAACACCATCTCCATCATTCTCCTGCCACCAGAATTTAGAAGTTCAAATGAAAAAATATCCGTGTTTCCTGAACATAGATAGTAGAGTCTCGAATCTGAGAAACTCCAATCATTTTGAATATGCTTGTGAAACAACTGCTACCTTTTCTTCCAAGTAACAAGAGCAAATATTGAGACATGAAAATAGGTCTAGAACATCTATTGAAGTTGCTAAAGGAGGAGGAGGGGTGGGAGATGGGAAATGGGAGATAGAAGAAAAACTTTACATTTGCATTGGGCATACAGCTACTCAGCACTTGAGGGCAGATATCTCATTTTTACCTTAGCTTTATCTTTTTGAGAAGCAGATGCCCCAGTCCTTCGAGTAACATTTGAGACTGGATGCACTGCATGTCCATTGACACTTGTTTCTGACCTTCCTCCTTTTTTTGCTCCTTGTAAGGAGCTTCTGAGAGACTCAGATGCTTTCTGGAGAATTTCATGTGAAAAATAAAAGCAACAGTTACAAAGAATTGCATCAATGAAATGTAACAGCCAGAATAGCAACATATGGTATAGTCACTTGCCTTCTCGTACAAAGATTTGACCTCAGCATACTGTTTCTTGATTTCCTGGTTATTAGGTTCCAGTTTCAAAGCAAACTCAGAATCTGTAGTAAGTCATGTTCATTAAATCATACAGTCATCATCAAAAACTATCAGGAAAAGAATCACTAGATAATCAGAGAAGACCAATATGTAGGTTTGAATCAACACACCCTCGATGGATTCTTTAAGTTTCCCCAATTCCTTTCTTGCTGTTGCTCTGCGTGAGTATGCTTTTATGTAGCGATCATCTAGATTCAAAGCCTCTGTACAGTCATCTTCAGCCTCTGGAAATCTGAGCAAAAAGAAAACGAATTAAAAAAATTAGCCATATTCATGAAAATTATCTTCACATGCAGTAAAGCAACCTATAAAATGACAAGATAAAACAAAGATGATCAAACACTGCCAGGTAATCAAAAGTTGTGCAAGTATATCACACTAAGCAACAAGAACTCTACAAGCATACCTACACTTCTTAAATCTAACACTATCAGACAGGAAAAACTTGCCTTTTGATTTTGAGATATGCCATTGCTCGATTTGCATAGGCTACTGCTGTTGGTGACAACGCTATGCTTCTTGAATAGCACTCTATAGCTTCCTTATACTTCTTCTGCTTAAAATACTCATTTCCCTATAAATTAAGAATTTGCAAACTTAGCAGCACAAACCATTACTACTGAATCTTTTTTTAAGTACTATCACAGGATGATTCATACCAATTCTTTCTCCGTGGTAGCATCAACAGTACTCTCATCAATTGCAAAACTATTTGATAGGCGATTGATTGCATCAAAGTTCCTTGAGTGATCATACATTCCTGAACTACTTGAAAAATCAACAGCAGAAGAAGTTTTCCCTGTTGATCTTTCATCCTCACCAATCTTCTGAGTATAGGAAGCATTGTTAACTGGTTAAGAAATTGTTATACCCCATATAATTGCTCTAAGCATATGCATGGATGCAAAAACACATGTATGCCATGACTTTTCATATTGGAATAAGAGCATATTGAAACATCCAGTGCACTTATCAATGATCTTTTAAATTGAGCATCTCTACAGCTCACTCAAAACCCGCAAGAATTCTGACAATTGCCATTTAAGTTTTCGCTCAGACAAGAACAATTCAGTACTGAGCATTGGATTATCCAAATCTACCAGTCCCCACAACACCTCTCAATTTTTCCACTAAAACAAACCAAGAACAGATTAACTGCACCATGTAAAATCACTCTACTAGCAAACAAATAAATCACTTACAACACACAATGGAAACATATACCAGAAACATTCATGCTTGACTCACTATTCCTAAGCCACCTAAAACAGCGAGCTTAAAAAAAAGAGCAACATGCAATAGAAGATTGAAGTCTCTTTTACAAGCTACAAGCTTCTCATGATAAAAGATGATTTTTTTCAACAACCAATTTCTCATTCCTATAATTACATTGAAAAGACTTGAAAGGTACTACAACTTGATTAAGAATCGAAACTTTACCATATCAGAAGCTTGTGACTTCTTCTTCATCTTTTTATCAGTGTCCTTAAGAAGTTCCCAATCCTGCAAATCATTCAAAAACCCCTGGAAATCCTGGAAACAAAAATGGGTTTTCACCAAAAATATATATATAAAAATAAAACCTTATTGACAAGAATCCTATTCATACCAGCTTTCATTTAAAAAAACACACACACAAAGACTTGATTTTCAAAGATTATTAATAGAGAGCATAAAAGAAGAAGTTTAGGAGAAAAATACAGTGATCATGAAGTTTTGAAAAGGGAAATGATTATAAAGCTTGAGCTTTCATTTTATTGTTATTACAGTTTTCTTAGTAACCAAACAGAACTTAAAAAATCAAAAAAGGAAAGAAATGTACCAGAGCTTGATCACGTCCATGCTTGCCTGGAGCCCTAGCCATGGGTGTTGGAGAGGGAGGTAGAGGTTTCTGGAGGAGCTGTGAAGGAAGGATTTATGCGAGTCACAGGGGTTTTTGTGTTTCTAAGCTGACTTAATGATATTTTTGGCGTGCGAAATTTTCTATTTTTTGTATTTGAGCTTACTAATTTTTATTTTTGTTATTTAAGTGAAAAAAATAATTTATTTTAAATTTCATATTCTTATTCTTATATCAATTTAAATAAATTAAAAGGTAAAAAGGTAAAATAATAATAATAATATTTTAAAAAATAATAAATAAAAGATGACTTGCATCACTAAAAAAACTTAAATTAACTTGATTTCTTTCCTTTTTTCACAAACTAAATAAATATTCACCTCTAACTTAAAAAGGTAATATTTTTTTTAATTTTTTTCTTCAATACAAATTTATTATACCAAAAAGTTGACTTTCTTATTTAATTTTCATTTTTTCTTGCTTTTTTTATTTTTATTTTTATTTTCTCACCTAATCATGATCCATATAAATTTATTTTTTGTGTTTTATTTTTATTTTCTTTTAATTGTAACTTATTTTTTACTAATTTATCATTTTAATTTTTTTAACTTGATTATGGACAAAGCAAGATTCATCATTGTACTCTTAAGAACTTTTTTAAATTTGGTCCCTCTACTCTAGATGTTTCTTTAATATGACCCCTCAATGGAATTCCGTCTTGGCAAAATTATTTGAAAAAAATTGAATATGAGATATTTAATGATATTCTAAGCTTTCGTTATTCTCAGACGGGCTTGTGGGTTTGGAATTAAATTTGTGGCTGCTGGTTGTTTTCGGGCCGACGTGGGATGGTGCTTGCGGTTAACAGTAGCTGAGCTCAGGCGAACGGGAAGATGCTGGTGCGTGGTGTAATGATAAACAAATACAATGAAAAGACTTCCTTAAGCATTTATTTTCATAATTAAGTTTTTTTCTTTTATATATACAAGAACGAGCTCTCCAAGATACGTCAAACAATTCCACGGATGCTAAAATCATCTTGCTATAGCTTCTCTTATCTTAGAAGGGGTAGTGGGAACTCAAGGCTATGAATGAAAGGACGATGGATATAACAGGGACCCAATTTGAATCCTCCTCCTGAAACCCACAACACATTTCCATCTACAAGATGAAATGATAATTTAAAAGGAACAATTCTAAAATGTAACAATTATATGTGACTATAGCAGCAATTTCTCCATGCTCCCATCCGCTTGGTGGCGATAGTTGCTTTACATAAGCCTTCCACCCCAGCTCTTATTCGAGATTACAGATAATGGAGCTGGAATGCTAGTGCTTCCTAAGTTCGTGGAGACCCGGACTCGTAGGTTCGTGCAGGTGGACCTTGATCTTAACAGGCAGTAAGAGGTTGCACCTTTTCATGAATTGCCTTGTAGCATTGGAGACTACAAAGGGGTAGTTTTGACTCCGAATCTCGGTACTTGTATGGATTTGTACACGATGGAGCAGCACATTTCTCCCGGGGAGGAGGGTAACTGAAATCCAGATGAAAGCAAAATCATCAGGTGTAAAGCAGCAAAAACAGCAATGTGCCTAGATAGCAGATGTGGGATATAGGCAATACAAGGTGTGCTGGAACACAATCTAAAGCAGCTGCTACTATAGAATACACAGTCCACAGGGTGGATGAGCATCCTAGTTTTAGGAACTTTCTAAACTATGCCTGAACGTGCACCTTACACAGTGCCTCATGACGAAATCACCCAAGGAGCAAAATCAGTTTGTTCTAAAATTAATTTAAAAAGAAGCCCTGTTTAGGAACATAACCTAGGACCTTCATTTTGTAAGAGAGAAACTCATACCTGCAAGGCTTGGAGTCAAATATACTAGGCAAGCCCATTTCATCGGGGAATGTTACAGTTGTTCCAGACGGACCCATGACCCACCTAACATGGTCTGATGCAAGTACCATAGCATTTGCTGCTTTCTCCTGAACAGAATTAAAATGCCCCAACGTTAACATTAACATAAAAACTGAACAGCATAAGTAGGCAAGTTGAAGGGTGAAATGACGAGCAGAGAATGCTCACATATTCTCAATATATTACCTGTGCCATTTCTTCTTGCCGTTTCTTCAGTTTATCTTCTCGTTTCTTCCTAGTGGAATCTTGGCCCAGTATTTTTCTGATTGCTTCAGCCTAAGATTTTCAGTCAATATTAATCTTTAATTCTCTCCAACATCTTTGTGATTTCCATGAGAGAGAAAAAAAATATACGTGCAAGTAAAAGTAACAGGGTAAACCTCAGATTCCCTATTTGCCTTTTCAAGTTGCATCCTGCGTCTTTGAAGAGCCTCAGCTCTCTTCAACTGCTGTTCCACTTCAGTGAGTTTCTCTTTTTGCTCTGTCATCAAAACAATCAGCAAATTTAATGTCTGGGAAATTCCACAAATGTTCAAAAACAGGATCACTGGAGCAAAAACAACTAGGTACTTTTAGGAGGAGCTGGAGGTAACCCATTTGGGAACTCTATTAAACTAGGAAAACCAGAGGAGGCATCTTTGCCAGTTTGAAGTGCTCGTTGACGTGTCGTGACTGTCATTTCCTTCTTGGAGTCCACTGATAGATCAGCAAACTCTTTTCTTGGCTTCTTATTCTTAGATGTAGGGTCACCATCTGACCCCAATTCTTCCTCTTCCACATAATCAGTATCTTCAGATACTCTCCCTGATTTAGATTTCTTACCCTCCTTGCCAAATCTAGTTGATCCATGATCTCCAGCATCTACATCATATAGACCATCAACATTTCTCTTCAATACTCTCAATATCTTCCGCTGTTTCCTGCTTCCTCCCTCTTCATCTTCAAACTCTGCACCATAATCAGTGCTGACCTTCAAAGTCTTGACTTTTTCAAGGTAGCGAATCTCATCATCATCCTCTCCTCCATCATCCAGCACTCCATCTAATAGCCGTTTCTTGGGAACCCGCTTACTTTTACGAACTGGCTCGTACTGATCAGTTTGCTTTGAAGACAGATTCTCACCTCTCAGACCATCTGTTTTCCTAACATTTAGACCACTTCTGGAGAAATCCTTCCACGGGACTCCTCGTAAACCACTTCCCTTACCTGAAGTAAAGGAATGGTTGTCATCCAAATTCTCCTGCAACAAGGATTGAGTTAGCTGCAACTAGTAGTGCTTACATAATTAGCAGACATAAAATGTTGTAGGCTTGTAGCAAAACATTGTCAACTGGGTCAAAAAAGGAGGAAAAACAATGAATAATGATTTCTAGACATGAATTGAAAGCTGACAAGTACAAGGAATTTGTCACAAATGAGAAACTCTTAACATGGTTTTGTTTTATCTAGTTGGAGTGAACGGGTTTGCCACTAGAAAGAAGATAATTACAGTCTTACAGATCTTGCATCTGAGAATATAAGGATGCTCAAACTCAAAATTCTGGATTTAAATGATTGCTATATGACAGTCCATGTGGATGTGACTGTCAAAACCTAATGCAGACAACACCATACCAGACTCAACAAATTTTGAATGAAAAGTACCTCAATTAACTTCTGCCGGGGATCTGGGAAGCGAGAAGATTTTGAAGATGATGACCCAACAGCAGATGCACCATCAGATGCGGACTTTGCATTAATAGTTCGTGTGATACCACCAACTTTAAGCTTCACTTTCACTTTACTCTCATTTCCTACTCCATCTGAAAAACCTCCAACATGCCCCGAGCTAGTTGTGCTTTTCCAATTAGCTGGAGCAAGGACACCTTCGCTGGACCTTCTAGAATCGACTCCACTGTGCCTCTGCTCGTTACTTCCTCGAAAAGAACAATTGTTGGAAGCTTCATCAGATTCTCCCAATCCTCCATCTTCATTCTTCATCATATTCTGGGAAGATTCACAGTCAGCAAGGTTAGTGGAAGAAGCTCTTGAACTGCATAGAATCAAACTGACTTTTTTCTTTCGTGAAATTGAACCATAATCATTATTGTCATCGCTTGACACTTTGCTTACAGTTTCTGAAGGTGGTGTGGATGATAAAGATGAAACATCAATGTAATCGGAAGGTGTGTGTGAGTCATTCCGTGGACGACGGGATGTATTACTCCTCTTCTTCCTAACAGCACTGTTTGAATCACTAAACCCAAAACCCTCCATAAACAGGACAAAGCAGAAGCCTAGTTCCGATCTTATCTACCAAAGAAAGAAAGTTGAAATAAGTCAGAAAACACAAACTTTTCAAGGAAAAGTTTCTTAATTGCATCACAGATGGCAGATTAAGCACAAAACTGCATTAAGCAACTCATGCCACACTGTAAATGAAGCCCCAAATAACACAGCACATATAACAAGTAGCAATCCTGTCTGCATCGATACAATAACCACTTAACAGATTCTCGTTGACTTCATACAATTCAGTTGGCAACATTACAATATAGCAGCAACTACCTATTTGATAATTGAGAAGGTGAATACTGCAGGCTACAACGCATGTCTCCTAAACAGAAAAAAAGTTTACAAATTAATTTCTTTTATAGTTTGAAGGTTGTACCAGAAAAGAAATTTAACACAGATAACTACATAACAGCAATTAACGCATATCAGACAGTATCAGGGGCTTATTTATGAACAAAAATTCCAAGATTATTGAAAAGGCACATATACACCAAGCAATACAATTAATGACACGAAAAGAAAATTCAAATTTATAAAAAAAAAAAAAATTGTCAATTTAATGTATAAACAAGCTCAACGAGGCCAAATAAAATATTATAAATCTATTACCGATTATCCAATATCAACACGCCAAAACAGTCACAAATTCAGATTCATAGAAATAAAACAAGAAAGGCAGAATCTTTGAAGCAAACACACTTACAAAACGACTCAAGAAACCCATTTTGCAAATCTTCAAAAAACACCAAAACAACCGAATAGAGACCAAGAACAAGCAATTTACCTATCTGGGTCGCGGCCAAAAGGCCTGAAAACCCTTGAATCGCCTTCTAAAAACAACCAACGAGAAAGATAGAGGAGGGTATCGACTTAAAGATTGGATTTTTGGTGGATTAATAGTACGAGTAGGATAACTAGCCAGGTGGAGGTGCGTAATTGGACAGAGAAAGGAGGAGGTGGTGGGTTTTGGTTAAGGAGGTAAGAGAGTGGTTGTGATGTCAAAAGACAGTAACATGGTGTATGATTCATTGACATCCTCATCTTTGTATAACATGCCAAAGTCCTGTGTTTGCGCTTAGTCTCGGATCACTCTCTTCTCCATTCCAAGCCAAGCTGCAGAATTTCTAGTCTGGTCCCTTTACGTTTAATATTTTTAATATAGTCCCTATGCTTTTCTTTTCTGTAATTGATTCCTCTATTCTAAAAATTTCTTAATGCAATCCCCTTGTCACACTCATTTCCAATTATAAGAAAACTAAAAGTCATGAGATGTTTTTATCTTGCAATGTGTACTACCGTCCTCTCTCACTCACGTGTCACTGTCCATTGAAATAGTTAGTTTTTTTTTTTAATCTTTAATTTAATCCGTGAATATCTTTTTGCACAATTGAACTCTTTTGAGTACAAATTAACACCCAATGACTTCTTCTCTTTTCTTTTTTTAGACCAAAGTGAAGAAAACAGAAAAAATAGGTGATAATTTCGAATTTCTCTTTGAAAGTTTATTTTAGCCCCCGTCTTTTTTTTGTTAACAGTTAATCATTCCTTTTAGTTGCAAGAAATTCGATTTGACACCAAATTTTATTCTCTTATTTTTTAGGTTTTTCTTAGATGAGAGAAAGGAGCTCGTCAGGTTTCAGTATAAAGAAAAATTCGTCGTTTACAACGATTCTTACTATAAAAATAGTTGTTATTAATATTAATGACTTTCATTTAATTATAAAAATTTTATTTTATTGTTTTTTTTTATTGCTTAAAAAGATGGGTTTGACAGTAATCTTTTCATTGCTTAAAAAGATGGGTTTGACAGTAATAATATTTTTTATTTCAAGTTGATTTTATATTTTTAAGTTATTTTTTGGGTTGTTTAAAGCTATTAATAGATATATCAAAATGATTTCCTAGTATTTTAGGTTAAGATATGTTGAAAATGGCTTCTTTTTTTTAACTGAGGCTATGTTTTTCTTATTATTGACTAATAATTTTTTTTGCCTTTTTGGGTTATTTTATTGTTCATAAAATATTAAATAGGCACAGATATTTCAAAATAAATCAATAACAAATAATACATCTTATTAAAAATATTAAAATAACCCTAGTCTAAAGGCATGTAATTTTTTTATGAAAAATAAAAAAATCATTACACTATAGCAAGGAACAGTAATATATGAAAAGGGCTAAAATGAAATCTCCTTTTGCTCTAGTTGTTTGTTAATATATCAATTGAAACTAGGTATTTGTCTGGTATTATATTTCTACATGTATTTAAATGTATTTTAAAAAAAACATAAAATTAATATTTTTCATATTGTTAACATTTTATTATTAAAAATAAAAAAAAAAATTTAATATATATCCAAATAAAAAATAACATACAATATCAATCAAGCAACAAGATTTGGCATCAAATGATTCCAAGAACACACACGACACTTTTTATCAACCCAGAATACTTTAAAAAGAGTAAATTCTTCTTGATTTCGACTTTAATATTTTAATTTCAAGAATTAAGAAATGGAAGAAATATTCTTATCGCCTGAGAAAGCTATCGGAAGTGAACCCCGACACATCGAAGTGAAGCAAGCAAGTAAAAGAAAGAATACCAGACGTACCCGTAACAATGGCAGGGAGAAATGTGGTGGTGGTTGGATACAGCACTACGATAATGGAGCGAGAATGATAATAAAGTGGATGTGTTGGTGTTTAAAATAAGTAGATGGTATTGATTATTACCCATAAAATATTTTATGAATTTTTTTAAATAAAAACATTAAATTTAAAGATTAATCATGACATATTTTATAGTGATAAATTTTTTAATACAGTATTGATGTGAAAAAAATTCAAAAAACATTTTCTTGTAAAATATATTGTGCAAAACAAGTGTTTTCTTAGTTCAAACGCATTAAAAAGAGGAAAAAAAAACCGTAAGAGCATTTAATTGTTCCCCCCTCCCCAGCTGTGTGTTATAGTTTTGATTCCATTATTAAAAGTTGGCTTCCTTTTGGTTTTGAATTCATGTAATTGTTTATGTGATTATTACTAAAAATTTATATAATTATTAAATTTTTAATATATAAAATTAATTAAAATATATATAAATTCATCCGAACATTCATATTAATAAAAAAAAATTCAATTTCATTGTATATAATTATTTTCTTCTTTTTTTTCTCCATCTTTTTTTCTTTAAAAAGAGGTTGTTATTGATGATAAAACAACAGGGAATTTTGATATTACAAACGTATGGTAATTTCTAAAAATATTTTTCAATTAAAAATAAATTCAAATATTTGTTTTATATTAAGTACATCAAAATTATTAATAAATACTAAAAATATTTTTGAAAAATAAAATATATTTTTAAAACAAACAATTGCAAAACAAGTGTTTTCTTAGTTCAAACACATTAAAGAGGAAAAAAAAAAAACCCTTAAGAGCATTCAATTGTTCCCCCTCTCCTACTGTGTGTTATAGTTTTAATTCTATTATTAAAAGGTTTGCTTTCCTTTTGGTTTTGAGTTTAAGTTAATGTGATGATCATCAAAGATTTATTTAATTATTAATTTTTTGATATATAAAATTAATTAAGATAAATATAAATTAACCCAAATATTTATATTAATAAAAAAAATTCCAATTTCATTATATATGATCATCTTCCTCTCTTTTTTCTCTATCTTTTTTTATTTTAAAAAGAGATTGTTATTGATGATAAAATAACTGGAATTTTGATATCACAACGTATGGTAATTTCTAAAAGTATTTTTTAATTAAAAATAAATTAAAATATTTATTTTATATCAAGTACATCAAAATTATTAATAAATACTAAAAATAATTAATTTAAAATATTTTTAAAAAATAAAATATATTTTTAAAACAAACAAAAAAAAACCAGAAAACGACCGCAATTTAAAACATACAATGCATGCTGGTTTAAGAAAAGCCCTGCAAGCAATTTTTATTGTTAATGAAATAGGAGTCAGATGAACTTTATGGGCCCGTGTGGATTTATAAAGGCTTGGTACTATCTGTTTATATCGGACCCGCCTTCGTCAGTGTAATATTTTCAAACAGTACTCTGGAGTAAAACTCGTCAGTGTATTATTGAAGTGCAGATCACTGTTTATTGTTGATTGAATTCACTGTAAATTACACTACGCTGGCGGGCACTGTATACTATAAGTGCTTTTAGGCTATAATTTGCAGGCCTCGAGTGCTAGGCTGGAAGTTTGCCTTCTGGGGCTGTGTATATACAGTGATTGGGTTGCCTGTCTGGGACTGGATAAACACTACGCCACCCGGTACTTATATTTTTAGTATAATTATAAGTATTAATATTAAAAATATTATTTTTTTTTTCTAGTATAATCAATTTTCAGAGTATTGATAAGAAAAATATTATTATTTGTTTTATTTATATAATTAATATTTAAAGAATTATTATATTTTTTCTTGGTGTATATTTTTTTTTGGTATAATTGATAGTATTGATATGAAAAATATTATTATTATTTTAGTCTAATTAATAGTGTTGATCTCAAAATTATTATTATTTGTTTTATTAATATTATTTTTTAGTATAGTTAATAGTATTAATCTCTGAAATATTATTATAGTTAGTGTTATAAAATAATATGATTTTTATAATAATTCATATTATTGCTACTAGAAATATTATTATTTGTATTATAAAAATTATAGAATTTTTATTGAAATTTACAAGAGTGCAAATACTATCATCATCATCAATGAATTTTAAAAAACTATTATTACAATAAAAAAATAATATTAGGAGATATAATGCTTGAGTTTTCTCTGAGAGCAGAAAATCCAAGCGTCAGGAGGCACTTTAGTTTGAGTATTCACATGCATGGCGCAAGGCTAACTTTGGGCTTGACGGGCAAAATCCAGAATAAAATTAGATCTTGGATGTAGTAAGATCAAGAGTCCCATCATGCTTTGGCAACACCACGCCAAGCCCGCTCTACAACGCTATTTGGCGCCTTATTTACTTCTTCTTGAATTTAGCTCAATTGCACGTGTTGCCTAGATTGCCTATATTTTTAATATAATTACAATTATTGGTATTAAAAATATTATTATTAATATTTTAATTTTTTTAATACAATTAATTTTTAGAGTATTAATAGTAAAAATATTATTGTTTGTTTTGTTGATATTGTTTTTCTAGTATAATTAATATTAAAAAAATTAATATATTTTTTTATATAATTGATAATATTGGTGTCGAAAATATTTTTTTTGGTTTAATTAATAGTGTTGATCTCAGAACTATTATTATTTATTCTCTTAATATTATTTTTTGGTATAATTAATATTATATTTTTCTTAATATATTTGTTTAGTATAATTAATAATATTAATATAAAAAATATTATTATTTCTTGAATTATAAATAATATTGTTTTTATAATAATTAATAATATTGATACTAGAAATATTATGACATGTGTTATAAATATTATTACTTTTAATAAAAGTTATAAGAGTATATTTTATTGTAATTAATATTATTAATAAAATAACTGGTGAATTTAAAAGAAAATATCATATCATTAACTAATTTTATTAAATTAATTATAATAATAATTTTATCAAATTATACTTAATTTTATTTTTATTTATAAATTACATACAAATTAATAGCTGCAGGATTCAAAAATAAACTTGAATCCTACTATATACATAACCAAATAACCTTGGATTTTACATGACCTATTGCAGAACTAACTCAAGATCGGACTTGGATCAGGTTGGGTAAACACCAAAATAATATTGGCATGACTCAAATAAGTCGGGTCCTACTTTTAATTTTTTTTAGAAGTTAAAAGGTAAATCTATTGTATAGCGCGTACTAAATAACTATATTACTAAAATATAATTTAAGAATAATTTCTTTGGATATTTAGTAAATATTTTATTAATATATTTTATATTATTTTAATTTTAAAAGATCGGCACGTTGGCTAAAGGTGTGTGTGTTTCAAATACAAAGTCATTATTTAATCATTTTATTTTTTTTATTTAAAATATAAAATCACAAACTTCACTTACT